TTAACAGTGAAAAAGGCTTACCTGGATTAGTTAAGATGAAGTACAGCCCAGTCTATACTTCCAAATGTATGGTTGGTTCTTGGCAACTTGTCTGATGATCATCATACTACTTCCAGACAATCAACGTGCCATATACCTTTCTTGGAGATCACAATCCTATCGTCCTACTGGATTAGCATGCAAATGACTTCTTATAGGAAACAGGGCTCTTATAGATTATGGCTCCAGATACCATTTTTGATTCGGTTCAATCACCTTCACCTGGGATTGAACTGGTATCTTGTGATCTGACCTGTGGAGTATTAACCACTACACTATAAACTCACAGGTCAATTAACTAGATTTATTATAATTTAGTTAAAATAATATTTTATAAAAAAATTTTGCTTTAATATAACAATTAATTTCAATAAATTTTAATGCTATATTAATAAAAATTTATTAAGTAAATTATCTTTATTAATATATATTTATATTTTTGATTTGTTTTACAAACTGTATATAAAATTTTTTTTTAATTTCTGTTTTATTAAATTATATAATTGATATATTATATTTAAACAATATATTGATTTTAATTTTTTTTAACACGTATTGTATAATTTTATAGTTTAAATAATTTATTTAAAAAGTTAATATTTAATTCAATTTATTTGAGAAATATAAATTCTTTTGTAATATATATAAGAAATCAAATTATAATAAAAATTTTTTATTAAAAAAAATTTACAAAAAATAAAAACAGAACTTTTATAATTATAAAATATAAACGTTAAATCTAATAGCTATATATTAAAAAATATATTAATTAAAAAAAAAACTTTATATAATACAGAATTTCATAATTTGTAATTTTTTGTTTTACTATAAAATTTTTATCAGGCATATTTTCTGTAATGGTTGTAACGTGTTTACTAAATCTTAATAAAAACCAATTATACGAATAAATTAACTTTGCATAATTTTTTTTGAAAAAATATGCAATTATACTACAAAGGAACTTTATACTTTTTTTTTTTTACAAAAAAAGAAACGTATTACTAAAGGTAACAGTTCAAAAAACAAATACATTACCATCCATGAAAAAAAAACCAAATTTTATATTTACTATAATACGTAACCAAAAATATTTCACAAGAAAAAATTTTTATATTACAAGTTTTTTTGAAAGCCTGATTTGAAAAAAAAATCTATATAATTGTCTCATTTCAAGATAGATAAGTTTTTTTAGGGAACTCAAGGAGACCCAAAGAAAATGTTTGAAATCAACTCCCCAACTTTTTCTATTCTTACTGATTTCGCAATATTTACACTGCTGCCTTTCACTTTCATATCACTTAATTAGCAGTAAGATCTGCAATAGACGGCCTTTTCATTGAGCTACCTCCATTTCCACTACCGTTACTTCCGCTATTACTTCCCGAAGACAAAACATCCCTGTTGACATCGCCTAGAAATGAAACTCCCTTATATACAAAGGTGTCAAATTCCGAGTCTCCAATATTCTTTTGCTGACTTCCGATGTATGACTTTTCGTGATCATAAATACCGTTGTTCGTTTCTAACTCAGACGTAGTCGGCGATCCAACAAGTGTCGAACGCCGCGATGGGTTAAAGGAAGGAGATGCCAGCGTTGATGCTGATAATGGTAAGGTTGTTGAAGAAGTAGTTGGTGTTCCAGATACCGACGACGACGTTGACATGGAGTTACCATCGGAGACACCACTAATAGATTGCTTTCTAGATTTTCCTGCCGTTAGCTTTAAGAGCGATGGTCTGCGCCTTTGAGCTGACTTGTTTGGTATTTGCGCTTCTTCGACCGGTGGTTTCAGCGTTGACGAAGAAGCATGCTTAAGGGATGATTGACGTCCGTGAAGATGAGTGTTAATTGTTAAATCAGGTTTGTGACGAGGTGATGAAGGCGAAGTAGGAGAATTTAAGGAAATGTTCTCTACCGGTTCAGCTGTGATGGACGATGATAGTAAGGGCGAGGGAAGATTTCCATTAGGCACTTGCGACGCAGCTTCAGCGTCATCATCAAACATTACTGATTTACCATCTCCTGTTGTTACATTCATTTTTCCAGTCGCAATGTCATCAATGTTACCTGCAGAAAGCCGACGGATGTCAGCGCGATTATTTCGAGCCTCAAAGTAACTCGTATCTTGCTCATCTTCGGGGTTTGGTACAAAAGGTGCCTCCTGTTGACGAATATGTTCCCAATCGATTCCCTTAAAGAATGGATGAGCTTTGATTTCCGCAACGGTCGGTCTCTTTTCAGATTCTTGATTGAGCAACTTCGTTATCAAGTCTTTAGCTTCAGGGGATAAAAACCCTTCAGGTGGCCATTGGATGTCATGGTTTAATATATTTCTAAAGATCGCTTGTGGCGTATCATCATTAAAAGGCGGATATCCTAGCAAAAACTCGAACAGACAAACCCCGAGAGACCACCAATCCACTGCCGTCGTGTGACCAAGCCCAAGAAGCAATTCTGGCGCAAGATAATCTGGCGTACCTAGTAGAGCCTTTGAACTCTGACGATTTTGTCTTTTGAAAGATTTCGAGGATGTTTGTTGAGACGATATATTGGATAATATATTTGAGTTCAAACCGTAAAAGTTGCGTTTAGAGCTTTCATTAGGGAATATTGCGGAAACTGGACGTTGATGAGAACCACGAGATTCTGCACCACCAGTTCTTAGACTTTTTGTGAATTGTTTTTTGTCAACACGATCGTTTGAATCACCTTCCTCCTTCACAAACGGCAAACTACTTTTCTCCGGAATTGAGATCCTCGAGAGGCCAAAGTCAGTGAGCTTTATGTGTCCTTCAGAGGTAATGAGCATGTTGTCGGGTTTCAAGTCGCGATGGGTGATCCCATTGTTGTGAAGATATTCGAGAGCCAATACTACCTCAGCTGTATACATACGCGCCATATCTTCATCAAAACGCTCAAAGCATTGTAATAGTGATGATAAATCACCCCCTATCAGATATTCCATGACCTTATTGAGAAATAAGCCCATTATCTACTTTGTTGAAAATGTGAAACCATCAATAAGAATTTTAACAGTTAC